GACAGCGGGGTCGCGTGACGAATATTCTAGAAGATTCGCTAGTGTGTTGCGACAGCGTTGCGTCAATTGACGCTGGTAGCACGAGTTGAGAGTCTTAGAAGTTTCTAGAACAGGCAGTATTATCGTATATAAGTGCGCTAGACAGTGAGAGAGACAGACGGAGTCGAAGCAGTAGTGGAGACAGAGGCAGAGACGAAGCAGGCAGAGAGAAAGAAAGACAGCGATTACGGTCGGCGGGAACTGAGGATAGCAGACACAGAGATCGGAACTATAGTTTGCGGGGACGGACAATTAAGTCTAAGCGCGATAGAAAGTGAGTGAATTGTTGTGAACTATAGTGTGTGTAACTGTGAAAATTAAGTACATTACAAAGTTGTATTGAGGAAGAATAAACAAATTTTATAAAGAAAGGACTTGTATCTTAGAAGAATTAACAAACAAACAAACAGAGACGTAACAAATTGTTGTCAGAAAGTGGGATAAAAAAAGAAGAAGAAAAAGAGAAGATGGAAACGAGAAGCGGCAAATCAAACTACAGCTTAGCAGATTTGATGGCAGCAATACAAGAACAGCAAAAGAAACAAGAAGAGAGACAACAGCAGTTGCAAGAAAACCTGCAACAGTGGCAGCTTCAACAGCAAAATAAACAGGAGAAATTAGAGCAGTTGTTGGAGGAAAAAGAAAAGAAACAAGAAGAACGAGAAAAAAAAACAAGAGAGATTACAGCAGTGGCAACTGGAACAAGGAATGAAACAGGAAGAAAGTCAGCAGCAACTACAGGAAAATCAACTACAACGGCAGGAAGTACAAATGGAAAACATTAGTAAATTTAAAAGCGAATTAGATATGTTAAAGGACGATTTATTGTCTTTTACACAAGGAGGATACATTAACCATCAGCTTAACCAGCCCCAGACAATGACAAGCCCCTTCCAGACCCCGCAGCTTACCCTAATGCAGACATCTTCAGTCCTGTTAGAAGTCACATCCCAGATATGAATGTCAGTAATAGGGGTGATTCAGTACGAAGGAAACCACAGGAATTCGATGGGAAGGCACCGTGGGAAGCATATAGAGCACAATTTGAGCTACTGGCAGAGATGAATGGATGGACAGAGGAGCAGAAAGCAGTATATCTGGCAACGAGCTTGAAAGGACAACCACTGGAAATACTTGGACAGTTGTCAGCAGACGACAGGCACAACTATAGAACACTGGTAGCGGCTCTAGAACTCAGGTACAGAACCCAAAACCAGTCAGAAGTCTACAGGGGTAGGTTTAGGACGAGAGTCCGTGCTAAAGGGAAGAGCCTGCAAGAGCTAGCACAGGACTTGGAAAGTATGGCACACAAGGCCTAACCAACTGCACCACCCGATCTCCTCAAGTTGTTGCTGAGAGATCAGTTTGTAGATGCCTTGGACAGTCCACATCTAAAGATACAAGTGAAGCAAGCACACCCCTTTACGATGCAGGATGCAATGGCCAGAGCTCTCCAATTTGAATCCTACGTTAAGTCCAACACAGAGGCACCAAGGTTGGTACAGTCGTCAGGATTCAAGGCCAGAAAAGGGCAGCTTTCAGAGAAGTTTGAGGGACTTTTACTGGCACTGTAACAAACCTGGGCACAAGAGAGCCCAATGCTGGCTACTTCAACAAATGGAAGATGCCACAGTAGGAAAGG